CAGGATCATCTCCTCCCCTTCACGGGACGCCACGCATGGCAAACATGTGGGTGGATGTTTAGATCCCAGAGAAAGTAACTGAAAATACAGAACCTTCCCTAGGAGGTCCCCTCACCACGTACAGGAATCCACGTTGAGGGGACAACATATGGTACTATTATATTTATATAGATACATCTGTTGAATAAAAGCTTCATAGAAACAAATTCTTATTAAATTAACTTAAAAGCTACATTTTAAAACTATACACAGTTCTTACATTTGTACATGTTATCTTAACTTAAAAACATTTATTTCATTTTTAATATTTAAAACATTATTTTAATATTAAAAAAATTAATTTATAGTAACTTCCAATCAGAGCAAGCTACCTACTAAGAGCAAACCTAAACCTCGACCTAGCAATGAGTATGGTTAAATGAATATAGTTTTCTTATTTATAAAGATTAGAATGCATTGTTTCAAAAGTTGCATACCCTCAAAATTAACAGTATTTTTGAACATAATATTCACAGTAAAAAAAAAAGGATAGAATTGACCTTCACGCTAAGATACATACATAAAAATCAGGAAGAAACTGCTCAGAATAATTGGGACCAGTTCCCTTGGACTTGATGGCTACTTGTATATCTCCTTCAACATCAATTTTTGACACAGCTTCATTTAATTTATCACAGCTCTGTGCAGAACAATGACAAAATCAAACATTCAGTTACAAAAAAAAAAGAGGCAAAAACAATCAAACATATATAGCAGAAATTTGATAAATTTTAATTAGACACTAGTTTCATATACACTTAAGTAGTTTGAATTGGTCAGACATAACATTTATTTCAATCATTTAAATATTTGTTGTTTTAAATAATATTTTGTATAAAATATTGTTCTATGTGTTTATAATAATAATAATATGGAAAAAATATAACACAATTAAAAACATTATTCCTTCTGCTAATTCAAACATGTTTCAGGATTTGTGTAAAAAAACTACACATAAGGCTACCTGCTCATACCATCCTTAATTTTGAACCGACATACTAGAAAGAAGGCAGTTAGTCAAATGCCATCTAATGCCAATACCTGGGCTAATGTTATATGACTGAATAGTGGCATTTGACTGTTGCTCTTATAAAGTACCTATGGCCCCAAATTGTGGACCATGTTTTTGTGACAATAATCCTAGCATTTAAAGTTTAAACATGCTAACCACTATGTCATGCCCAAGCACATAATCAAGTGATCCAGCCTCCCAGCTTTTATACAAAGCAAGGGTTTTAATAAAATATTATTTTTCCTTCTTTCTCATTCTCCTTACTATGTATTCAACATGGAAGGAATGACAGCTAGAGCCATAATTACAGTATATATGTTTATCTTATAATTTTGCACAAAGCTACACACAGACTATCTGCACCTGTTCATCCCTAATTTTGAGAAGTTTAACTAGAGGGAAGGCAGCTAGCTAACAGTACTCATTACCTACCCTTGGGCTATTCTTGTCGGATTAAATAGCAAGATTTGTCTGTAATTTATATAGCATATTTATGGTGATAAACCTTTTGAATAGCCTGATATTTCTATTTAAGGGAACATTTATAACCAATGCCATTTTCGTTTTCCTGAGAGATGCTATAAAGTTAGAACTGCAAGCACAAATTTTTCTTTTATACTTTTCTTTCACAAGTGTAATGTTGTTTGTGTGCAATTTTAGAAGTCTCTTTACCCTCCCAATTTGTAATTAAAAGTCACAAAGGATTATAAATAAATTACAGGTACATCATTTGGAACCAATATTGTAGTTTGCACTTTCAGTGGAAAGAAGCTATTCTTACTCATGTAATATACTAGGTACTAATGCTAAAGCTTTAAAATTTCTTCTACAAATTACCTGAATCATCTTGGGTCCCAAAACACTGATGTGATTTGCATACTTTTGTACTAATTCCTGCATGTGTGCAAGTCTCTTTTCTTCTAGCTGTTGAAATTGAGTACTGGCTTGGTAAATAGCTGATTCCCATTCTTGTCGCACCCTCTCTGCCTTCACACAACTAGTATAGTACTCCAGGTCAGCTTTTATCATGGCCTCCTCTGCCTTCTTTCGTTTATTTTCCAACTACGTGGATAGATAACAATATAACTAAAACTTATTCTTGGCTTATGCAAACTGCAAAAGAAAACTCTGGCATATTACAACTCATCTTCTCAACTACTTTGGTTTTGTTTATGTCCTTTCTACCCACTTTTTAATCCTACAGTGACTCAGTCACAAGCATCACTGGAACATTTCTTAGTCTCTCTTTGCCTTAAAAAAAAAGAGATGTTTTTAAATAATTTTGAAACCATTTCTAAAGCTTTCATGTGATCAACAAAAGTACAAAGTATGCTGTACAACCATATATTCCTGTCAAATTAATAATAATATGCATTCAACAGCCATTCTCTCTTCTTCTCCACGGGTAATGAAATATGATTGTACTGTTACTAATTAAGTCAATAACTTGAAACACACCCAAAAGATAGATTGCCTTCTTAATTTAGTATCACCCACCTACTTTTAAAGATAATAAAAAAAATGCTTTCAAATGTTGAAAATAATATTCAGAACACCAACTTATGAATTTCAATCAATCAACAACTTTAATAATCATCCAGAAACTTCCCTATGCTGTTCTAAATGCTTTATTGTGAGTTGCTATACAATTTTAAGCAGAATTGTATTTGCCTCATGCTTAAAAAGATTCCAGACAAATTAGAAATTCTATAACAGTTTCAATTTGCTTAGCCCAATATGTAATCTTCAACTATCAGCTTTAACCAAATGTTTTACCCATCATCATGCCCAAAGTTGAACAAAAAACGTGGTGGCCTGGCTAACTAATGAATAAATATTTACTGCAAAATTCTTATCATAGTTCATAATCTGTTCTATCCAATAGTGTTGAAATATTGGCTATAGTTATTTACAAAGCTATGCTTCATTAGTCATTAACTATTCAGACTCATGCTGTGATGCCATAAAATGGTAGCAATAAAAAACAAACACTAACAGAAAAGGAAAAATCATGAAAGGAACAAGACATAGGTAATTATATTATCAAAGAATGGTTGCTTCTTAACAATTATAAACCTATACTTTGAATAAGCAGAAAAATTCTAAACAAATTACTAAAAAAATCAATAAATACATTGTTTACAGGTAAGACTCCTCAGAGTTGCAGAAAAATTAAAAGCTGGAAAAGAATATCAATTGTAAAAAATTTATAATAGGCTATCTGTGCTGTGCCCACCATGGGTCTCAAAACCCAGTTTTTAGCATTATGAGCCTTCAGGCTTACTGCTGAGCCACTGGGGGAAGAATTTATAAGTTAAAAATTGTGGAAAGAATTTGAATTATTAATTTTAATATCCAAATGTTCACTCAACCTGTCAGGGTTTTAAATATGTTGACTGGGATTCTTCTACAGTAGCTGTCTGTGACTTGTTAGCGATAAATTTGGACAATAAATGGACAGCACACAATCCACTTGTTTTAAAATAATACATATTCAAAATTCTTTACACTACAGGAAATCAAAGTTTTATCTAAAACTCTAAATAATTCTCTTTTCTTGTCAAAAGTCCACACAGGCTGATTCAATTACTTTAGAATCCAATTGACAAGATGAGTTATTTTTCTGTACTCTTATCACAATAGTATCAGTGAATAATTCACTTACATTACTCCATGAATTACTTTAGAACACCCTTTGACAAGACAAATTATTTCTCCTTATCTCTCTTAACTGTAAAACTCACTTTAACTCTCAACCATTACGGCTAAACTAACAATCACGGATACTAACTTAACTTTAACTTCTTCTTTTGTTTGTTACCACAGTTGTATCCAGAGCATCAAATAACTGTCTCTTTTTTTTTTTCATCAAAAGCCTACACAGGCTGGTACAGTTACTTCAGAACCCAATTTAAAAATTATTTTTCCTATCTCTGCTGTTACAATACAGCTGTGAAACATACTATATAAATAACCCATTAAGGCTAATCACGCACTTGCCGGCTAACTTCACGTTTTCTTTCACCAACTAATTTTTTTTACCTTTGGACTGAACTTTCCTTGACTTCCACTCACTTGGTCATTTATATATATATATATCTTACCCAACTGAGGCCTAGAACTTTTGACAAACTACAAGATGCTATAGTGTAACAATATTCCAATAAAGAGAAAAAATTAGAGGTTTGTAGAAAGATGACGTGAACAATACTACAACAATTGAACTACACACACACAATGTATGACTCTTGCTGAGTTACATATCAAAATTTATTATAACTATTGCCTTTGAAATAATTAACTTTAACACTCTTATTATAAAAAACTAAATAATCATTAAATATTAGATCACCAAATGAATCAAACACTTACACCAAACAGTCTTGTATATCCAACACAACCCATGAAAGAGTCACTGGTTGTAATAGTGCTAAATGTCAATGAACATATGAAAATCAAGGTAACTTTGGTGTCCAAATTCTCAGCTTGAGCTTTCATATATAATTATTATTAATAGTAATTATCTGATTCCACAAAGACAGTGATGCTAAAATGTTTTGTGAATGTGATCACAATAAGGCCTCATTATTTTATAGCACTTAGTATTTTTCCTTCTTTAGGAGAGAATAAGGTTCATGCTACGTAATTACATAACACTGGTATTACATGAATAAAACCAAGTACACTTAATTTCCTTTACTCTGAATTACAATTTGTTTTTTAAACCCAGACCAACAAGTGCTCAATGTTAGGTATTTGAAAATTTGGTGCATAAATGCCTGTAACATTCAAAGAATTGTCATAACACATCACTTTGTCTGAAGTATAAGTACTATTTGGCTTCAGAGATACATTGGCCCACTATATAAAAACTATATTATCCTTTTAAAAGACTACATTATTATAATCAATGATAAGTTATTAATTGTACATGTAAAATATCTTTTCTGACTAAAAGACTACAATCTTTACTAAATTATGAGTTGTATTACTTGTATACTGCTACTTCTCAGTTTTCCTACTAATCTACAATATAAGAAACTTTATTACCTTATTAATATCTTTATCTGTCACAAGTTTTCCTTTACTAGATCTACTTTCTAAGCTCTGTTCCTTCAATCGTTCATTTTCTTTGGTACAGCTGTAGCTCTGCTTTTGAGCCTTTGCTTTTTCATTATGATGATCTGTAAGACTTTTGGATGTTCGGTCTACTATTAACTCGACCTATATCACAGAAATATTGCTTTAAAATTATTCAACAAACTGTGTCCTATCCATTTTATTTTCCTTGAGACTGGTTGAAATTAATTCTTAGCAACAATAACTGTGCTCTCCCCTCAACTTTAAAATTTTTCCAACTGCTATTTCCTTTTCATCTAATAATTAAGCTTATTATATGAAAATAGTATAAACTGGTGAAATATGATACACAGAACTCAAAATGTATATGTCAATCTAAGAAAGTACTTTCCTAAAAACACTTTCCAAATACAATAATACACAAAGCAAGAGTATTCATTACCTAAAACCTATGCTAATCTTTTTGTAAAATTAGTTGGATATTGTAGAAAATAAAACATTTTAAAGTATGAAAATATATTATTTTATCAATAATTAATCCCCATTGATCTTCTTGGCCACTACAACAAATATAAAAATAACAAAAGTACAAAATTGGACATAAATGTCTTATTAGATACACCACATGCATTTACACTGTATACATGTACATTATTTTATAGTAGTTTTGTGTACTGAATGTTAAATCAAGTTTTTTAAATTGATACATGTTATGGAGTAAGACTGCTCTCATATTATACAGTACAAGTACTGGGGGGAGTAGGAATTATATTTCACTTTTATATTATTAATAATAATATTATTATAAACACATTTAATGGGAAAAAATGAACTAGAATAACATTACTAAACACAAAGAGTGTCAGTGAATGACTATTACAGTAAACATAGTAATTCTATCTCATGTGATTTTGGAGTTAAAAAACACTTGATCCTAGCTATGTTAAAGACACAGTACACATAATATGACAAAGTACTTGTGTATAGGTGTGAATCTAAATTAATTTTAAAAAATCCCAGTACATCAGTGTAAAAACATAACAACTCTCTATACTATAGACTAGTAGTTCAATATTTTAATTAAGACTATTACACAAACCAAAACAGAAAATTTAACATTTTTAGAATTAGAATGAATTTCAAACACATACTTGCCTCTGTAATAATTGTCAACAATCATATGACTTTAGGTTCTGAATATTCTTAACAAAATTCAGTGTTCTCAACTCTCCTACCTTCCATGTGATATGTTTAATGTACTTAATATGGAAGGTAGTCTAATAAGATTGATAAATAGCCAGGGAGAAATGATAGCAAGAATGAGATAACATTTGAACCATATAGAAAAAGATATTAAAATCAAACTGAAGGGTCTGGCAAATTCAAGAATCTCAAAGCCAAGGGTCTCACAGATGAACTGATGATCTGAGACAATCTTTACTACAAATCTTATAATTCTGAATTAACTTAATGTTCCTTTGTCAAATTTGGTAAACTTTTCATGAAAACTAAAAGTATGTTTCACACAAAAAAATCAAAATTTTTAATAAAGTATTTCTACAAAAGATTTGTCTTTAAATTTACTTTAGTCAGTCTACATGCAAAGGATTTTCATGTTAAGAATAAAAAAAATTTTTATCTTGTTTTTATACTTCATTTACATAACCTCTAGAAACTCCTGCATGAATATCAAAAGTTCTTTTGCAGTAAAACATTATGATTTCTCTACCCTAACACTATACAAGCTCGATTCATTTGACCAACTTTGTAACCACCATAAAAAAAATAATAAATAGAAAATAAATTTAAGTTAACTTTTTTCTTTCTACAACGACTGCAGATTGTAACAGGAAATTACAATTATTTATCTCAAACAGCCTCAGGCTAATAACAGTTTACATGTGTTTTAATTTAATTTTATTGCTCTTTGAGCTGTAACTACTAAACTTGAGTATCAAAGCGAGAAATCACACGGTGAGCTCACAACTCAAGTTACAATAAACAAAATACTGAATTACATAATGTACATGATGCTCGCATGCATACCTTACTGATAAATTTAATTTTTTCCCTTATCTTATCTAATTCATTTCTAATTTTTACATTTTAGTTACTTTTATGACAAAAAATAAGAAATGTCCAAGAAAACAAGAAATTTATTACTTCATGTAAGTCTTGTACTTTTATGCACTTGAAGTCTCGTTAAAAGTTAACTCTAATTTTTGGTACTTTATTGAATGTTTGTTTATTTTAAATATCACAATTAGAACACAAAATAGTAAGACACAAAACATACAATGACCTATAACTATTATAATATAATTGGCTTTCTAATTCATCTGAAAGTGCATTAACATAACTCCCTTACCATGTTTGAGGTGAACTCAATGATAGTAACTTTGAATCTGTATGCCAAACAATTCAAAAGCTCTCTTCAGAATGAGTTAACATTATACATAATTCAGTAAGTTAAAATCTTCTCTTTGTTTTGGTTATAAATAATATAATAGCAAATGTCACAGAGAATTACTAACATTTTTTGAAATACATTATACAATAGGAAGGTGTAGCATGTGGGTTTGACTTTCTGACTAAATCCAGATAATTGAAGGTTATAAAATTAGATCATGTCTCAAGAATATGTTCACTCTAAGTTTCTAATTTGTATTAAAACTCAGAAGCAGAAAGAATATCTAAACCAGCAATTCAGAAAAACAAATGATACACAGAAGTGAAGACTGATAATTTATTTAAATATTTCCTCTTGAAATTAAAACTTACATAATACTAAAAGTTAATTTATAAACTATGTTTCAGTACCAAGTTTATTGAAACTTATTGATAATACAGTTGTTTAAATTAATTTTGAATGTAAATGTAAAACATCAGATGCTTATTGATATTTAAAAAACTTTCACCTGTTTACGTATTTTATGTTGCCCATCAAATAGCAGTTTCAATGACTTAACAACATCTTCTTCAAGTCCAGATGCTAGACATCTGAAAACAAATTTTATGCATTAAAATAATGGTTCTCCACCACAGAAAAAAAAAAAAAAGAGTTAAAATGTTAATGATCAATGAATATGAATAATATAAAAATTACCAAACTTGTAATGTTAATTAAAATAGAGGTCTCTGGTTGTACTTTGTGTTGTTTTTATTATATAAATTCATAAATTAAAAAAAAGGTTTCCCTGTACTTTATGCATTTTGACAACTAGCATTCAAATACTATGCCAGAAAAGACGGATGGGATACTATAAAATGACAATCAAAAACCAGACAATAAAAATTACAAATACACTTAAGCCTGTCCCATGCCAAGAACATTGGAAACAATACATCGAAACTATAAATGTTACAGACAAGCATGAAGAAAATATTCAATATGATAATCAGAGAATTACTATAAGTAGATCAGATAACTTCACACACCTTTTGTAATCTTAAACACAAATATTTATTGCTTTTCAATATTGTCTAGAAAAGGTAATGTACATTTTATCCATTTGAAGGCCAAAGGTTAATATAATGTTGGAATTCTAATCAATATAAAACTTTATACAATATATCACATTTTGAATAGAAGAAAAAAAATCTGTTAAATGGGAAAATATATATACACACACACACATTTATATCTGATCTTTCAATTTTTTTGCAGTCACTCTTCCAGGCATGCTCTTTAACAGATAGAAAAATAATAATGTATAAACTTTATTATTATTTTGATATAAAAGCAATATAAAGCAAATTTATGTCACATTCAGTCACTTACTTTCACTTCAATGCATAGACTAAACTATATTATATTAACCAGCTAAGCAAAGGCTACCTATGTTTTTTACTCAATCACAATTGCATACAAGATGATCTATGAAAGACAATCCAAGTTTTTAAAATGGTATAGATAAGCAGTTTATCAAATTCTTCCTACATTGAAATGAAGTGAATGTAAAGGTGGGGGCAAACCTGACACTATATCTAACACCATACAAGAGCAGTAACCAATACATATTTTTGCAATGAAGTCATGAAAGCCATTTGTCTCCCTACTCACTCTAAATCCCAAATATTGTTCAACTATAAATCAATATTAATTGTTATTGACCTCATTTATACTCAAGTTATTTTATAAACATCTTTCAGAATTCACTCATGCACGTGATGGGAAAAAATTATGCTTATATGGTTATAGCGCAGCTGCTTATGGTACTTAATGTTTTCTAGATTGTCTACGTTCTTCTGGTAAAGCAGTAGCAATTTTTGGCTTGAAATAATTGCATGCAATGGCTCCTGACGACATTTTGCAACTGGAAGCCCGAAGCAGCATTGTATCCAGAGCTTTAGATAATTGTCTTTTTTCATCAAAGTCCACACATGCTAGTTCAATTACTTTAGAACACAACTGACAAGACGAATTATTCTTCTCTGCTTTGTTATTACTATACAGTCTGTGATAATTTCACATTAAAACTCGCCACTTTACATTCTTTATCTCTAAACTCACAATGACTTAGGTCTAGATCTAAATAATAATCTTACAACGTCTATTTATACCATGACAGAAGTCAAGAACATTCCATGCCATACTAGATATTCTGAAGCAATAATACTCAATTAAAACGAGAAAAATTCAGAAAGTTCTTGTAACATGATGCAAAAATATAACAATCTCTAATTCATAACAATTGAACATACATGCTACACAACCTACAATTTGTAAAAAATTATGTAAACAAATGTATCATAAAATCTCACTTCTAAAAATAACTAAATATGATACCCACACTATATAAACTATCGCATTATATTTAACTGAAATAGTCATGTATATCTAACAGCAACACGTGCTTTTGATCAGAAGCTAGCTTTATTGTGTCACAGAAATAAAACCATAAATTGCTTGTAGGTTTGAGATTTAAGCATTTTTATAGGTTTTTATTTTTGTACAATGAAGGAGCTGAGAATTGTACTAATCTTAAACCCATTTGATAATTACCCACTATACAAGTAAGAGACTGGCTTGCAACACTATACAGTATATGATATACAAGTTAGACCCTCAATACTTCTTACTCAACAGAATGAAGTGCTGATTGCAGCAATATATGAATGTTTTTTGCCAGCAAAAGAAAAGGATTGCCACATGGCGACAAAGGTATAGTACTATGTAGCTTTGCTGCTTTAGTTGTGCAGAGTTGTTTGATTTAGTAACATAATTTAACAATTAACAACTACTTTGCATGTAGATAGTACAGTACTTTACTATAATAAAACATACATATTTATGATAATTCAAGTCTAGTTCCCCATGCAGCATTACAACAAAATGATGATTTATTGACTTTTCACTGGATGTTTATAAATTTTATGTGAACAGTCATGCAACTGTTTAAGCTATATTTCATGCAAAATTGCTTCCAGATTTAATCTCATAGCACCTATGTTTTACACATTTTCTGGGAAGGCATGCCCTAAGACTTCTGCAACATTAGCATGCAGATTGTGCTTTCCACAATGTATGTTGGCTTGTGATCTCACAAATTAGAACCCCCCTTCAAACATTCTGTATACAGGCTTGGGACATTAAATTGACTGATGTTGATACTAAAGTAACTCAAAAAGCATGTTAAAGATAAATTTATAGGTTTTAAAATTATGTTTGTCTATGCACATTTTCTTCCATTGTTCTTTCACTACACAGCATCACTTTTGTTTAATGTTTACACTTCTGTAATTTCTAATAAAGATCCATTTTGAAATAATGTTATCCTTCAACATAACTTTCTACTACATGAAATGGTTAAGTATTTGTAAAGCTACAGTTGAAGTTAAGCTTGATGATTCCGCAATTCTAATCAATCAAACTTGACTGCTGATGTCATATTAGAAGTTAGAATTATAGCCACTGTGAAACTTTTTCAAACCATCTTCCTTTAGAGATAAGTGCATTTATGAGTGAGGGTATTTTTAGCAGGGTTTGAAGAGACTAGTTTCATCTTATTAAATTTGTTACAACTTAATTAAAAGCAAAATTAAACAATGCATATTTTTTAAAGTCCAGTAAATGATATTAAACTTAAGAGGAGAACAAAATTCACTTTTAAACTAAAAAAAATAAACTTAAGATAAAAAAATCACTTTTTTTTTATTAAAAATTAGAATAACATATAACCTATTTGATTTTTGAAATAAATAAATAAAAACAAGAATGAAGTTAAGAACAATAACACTGATATAATACAATGTTAAAAAAATATTCACCTCCAACAAGAAAAATCTATACAAAATGTTTATTTTGAAAAATTCACATATTTCCATTATAAAATTAATATCTGTAATGTAAAAACCAAACATATTTTATATTTCAGCATACACGCACACAAGAATAAATGAATGTAAAACAGCATTTTTAATGCAAATATACAAATATATTTTTAAAATATTTCATGTTGAAATGTTTTGGTCTCTTGTATCCAAAATGATAAAAATGTCTAAATCAGATTTTTTCCTGAAAATACTCATACTGGCTATAATACATGTAGAATACATACACAAGATATGGATAGTTATGTTTAGTATGGTTTAAAATAAAACCATCACAAAAAAAATAAACCTAACTGAGCCTGTAGATATAAACTTTATCTATCGATCTACACTTGACAGCAAACCACCTATTGATTAAAGGCTGATTTATCAGTATATATATTTGTATCTGACTATATCTACAAACATAAGGTATTCCTGAAATATGGGCAGTATCAAAGTATTTTCCTGTAAGTATATATCAAACCTGTTTACTCAAAACTTAATGAAGTGCTAAGTAAATATCACAAAGAAGTTATGGAACTTTTCAAAATGTTAGCTTGTACAACAATCCTGTCAAAAACTATTCTATATGTATGCATGTAATTATAATTTCTTAGTAAAAATATTTTACTCCCACATGAGCATTTGCAGAAACAAAGATATTCTATTAAAAGGAAACCTAATACACACACACCTGTGAAGTTCTGCTTCATACTCCATCGCAGAAGCTATTTCCTGCCATGTTTGAGCTGTTGTCCTAAAGTTAGAATAACGGACTGAGTAAAATTCGGCTCAATAATTCAATTTAAAACTATACACATAGTCCATGAAAATAATAATTTATATACATTTTGATTTAAAATAAAATGTATTTTTTAATCACATCCTAATATGTTTTAACCAATTTAAACAGACTTGCAGATTACTCTAACAAAATTGTAAATATTGACAAAAATGTTTTTAAATAAAAACATGTTACCACACAGAAGAATTAAATAAAAAAGCACATTCATAATTTTCTTATATTATAAACACTCACACATCTACATATATATTACAATCAAACTTAAATATAGAGTAAACCTGGTAGATCACAAGATTAAAGGCTTTGAAGAACAGCATATACTAAATCTTATGTACCATGTATGAAAACATATCAAGCATCTCAAAGTCATACATGTTCTATGGGATTCTTTTGACAACTAGACATAGGCATGTGTAACGTCTTGTATCGTATTACAGTTAGCCTATTTTGGTCTTCTAAAACAGAAAATAAGCAAGACATCCCTTATGGGGTAATACTTTTTGTTACACTATATACAGTACAACATACTGTTTAAACTACAAAAATCATATTGTAGTTACTTATAACATAACTGCAGGACAAGAGCCAAGCTAACTAATTTTTTTTTTCTTTTTCTTTGAGGAAACAAAATAAAAAGGAACACAAAGCAGTCCATTGTTCAAACTGTTTCATACTCAGACACTTAGTATTTTAATTGAACTCTAAATCATAAAAGCTTTGGAAACGTGCCATCAGTCAGACAGAAAAATGATCCTTCAGAAGATTTAAGTGTTTAAAAAAGTAAGGATTATCAGACACTAAAACATACCTCTTCAAGAACTCTAGTATTTAAAAAGTACAGCTAGTCACCCTTTAACTGAGAAATCTTCATTAGAACAAAAAAAAGTTAAATAAATTGTAGCATAAAATATAAAAACATATTTCTGCAACTCATAATACCATTACTTAATCCACATGACTCAAGCCTTTCCTTCTGGTTAATAACTTGTATTTATATGAGTATACTGCATATATATATATTGCTATACCTACCCTAGAGCATCTCTAGTAGCTTTGGATACCTTAGAAGCAAGCTTATTCAGATTTTTGGCATAATGGGACTCTAATTCAGATCTAAATGAAAATAAAACAAAGGCAGTTTTTAATGAACCCATTAATAAACACCTTTATTTAAACAAATAGCTTTAAGCTATAAAACAAAACTAAAAACAATTATTTTAGATATCTAAACTTCCATAAGTTTTTACAAATAATATTATGACATTTTAAAAAATCAAAAAGCATCTTTATGGGATTAAAAAAAACAAAGAACTATTACTCCCATTATATTATGACAATAACTACCACAGAAAATGTATTTCTATTGAGTAGGTATGTATGTTTGTATGGAGATGTGCATTCTGAGTAACAAAAAACTATTACTCCCATTATATTATTACAATAACTACCACAGAAAATGTATTTCTATTGAGTAGGTATGTATGTTTGTATGGAGATGTGCATTCTGAGTAACAAAGAACTATTACTCCCATTACATTATGACAATAACTACCACAGAAAATGTATTTCTATTGAGTAGGTATGTATGTTTGTATAAGGATGTGCATTCTGAGTACATGTATGCATACTTGTATCATTTACTAAAAACTAGTGCTATTAACTAGAGTAAAAGTTTCACAGTGTATGATAGAATTCCTTGATGTGATGTGTTTGAGCCACCAGACCTTGATGTGATGTGTTTGAGCTCTAAAAACTTAAAATCATGAGACTTCATTAAACAAGATTATTTAAACTTGTCAATTTAAAAAGGGAGAATAGGGATCTTCAGAAAATACAGAAACAAGATAGGTAGCTTAAACTGAAAATGCAATTGAAAAAAGTAAACAAACAAAAAATAAATACTAAAAAGGATAATGTTCCCCTTAGCATACACAATCAAAATCAGTCCACCCCCCCTCTCTTGAAAGTGAAATGAAAAGAGAGGATAGAAAGAAAAGAACACCACGTAACTAATCACAGAAGAAAAATTAAACAAAGTATACATTTACGAAAATTTTAACAAATTCCTGTCCCATTTTACTTACATCATAAAGTAAAATAAATAAATTGACTTCACACAAAGATAAGAAAATGATCATACATGTTCATAAGACTATAGAACTGAAATAATTAACTGAAAATCTAATGTTAGACTGGGAGATTGTCACATGATAACATGTTGAAACCAATGCCAGTTAAGGTGACTGAAGCATAACTGTAAGAGCAGGAAGAACTGTCTTTGCTGATGAAAATCATATCTTTCAGAATAGAATTGAAACCAATATTTATTTAGTAAATGCTATTTATGTTATGTATATATATATATATATACAAAGCAATAATTTGAAGAGCATACTGTCCCATAAGCAAACTGTAATAATAATAGCAATGTGAAAGCTTTTTCAAACTTGTGGTACGCATACCATATTATTCAACTAGTAGTTAAATAATTTACTTCCACATACACCTAAACCTTCTCCAACATGTTATCCTTCTACTTTACACAAGAATTATGTTATATATTAAACTTACATTTTATACACTGTATTATAAAAAGCTAGTAACATGCACTTTCTATTAGTTTTCTTGAATAGGTTCCTAAGACTGTTTATCACAGAAACATGTAATACAGAAACCTAAACCAGTTTTACTCTACTGATAATGACTATTTTATTTGAATCACATTGATCAAGTCTTAGTAAGTAAGCAACAACCAAAATTTATATAATAACAAGAAATTTATGACCTTCAATCAGTTGCACAGACTGGTACAATATTTTTGTTTTACATCCATTGTCTAGTGAAACTGATACAAACAAGTTTGTTACAATTTATGCTTAAACGGTGAAATGTGTTGTCTTTTAAACACCTTTAAACACAATACCAGCAATGTTGTACATAACAGTTTCTGAACACGTTAGCAGTTCAGAGAATTTTTTTTTGCAATTTACAGAACTACATTGTCACATTTAGTACATACACATTTAAATGTACAGAAACACACCAACAATTTTTACATGCTGTCTCAACAGGTCTGACAAAGAAGATTCTTATAATGTACAGAAAAAAAAGTTTCTAACTAACTCCTGTAATTTTATAATGACCAGCAAACTCAAATATATCCAATTACATCCAGTCTTGTTTTACCATACACAGTATACAATCATAAACTTTTATTCACCATGCACTGCCTAATCCAACCAACTGTAATTAAAGATAAAATACTGGAAAATGCTTTAGCCATTTATTTCCCCTACAATATGTTATTCTTTCATGAGCTTAGAGCTGTTAAGTCACACAAACACACAGCTACTATCAGTAAACAGAGAAATTAGATAACATAGCTACTGTTACTATCTTTTGACCTGATAGATAAGCTGAAAGTTTCCCATAATACTCAACACATTTATCATCTTCTGTATAAAAACAGGCTTTTTGGAAGATGAAAATCATAGTTTCAACAATTTCAAATGGAATATTTTTTATCTATGGTACCCAACATATATCATAGTAATTACATTTTTTTAATTCACTTAATGTGCTCCAAATTTAAGCACCCAATTAAAATTCTACAATTGAATTTGCAACATTACATTGAACAAGTAGATAATATTTCACAACCTAGTTTCTAGGAAAACAATGCAAATGACACACTACCAGTAATTGCACCTGAATAAATTTTACCTTTCATAATTGTCCATGATTCTAAATATTTCGAATTATTCTAAAGGTTAACCTGAAATTTTTAGAAATTATGTACATATTCAGGTAATTCATACTAGCAATCTGCTTTCCCACAAACCCAATAATTGTCCAGATATGTAAAAGCTGAAAACAACTTAAAAAATTTTTCAAAGATTATGTTCACACCAGTAAAGCAAATTAGTTAGATAATTCTGTTCTGAAAAATAAGACACCAATTTAACTAATACACTGATAATGAGTCACTACCTGATTGTAAGTTACACATTCTAAATCATTCTGTTCTGTTTATAATCATCTAGTTAGTATATAAGCTTTCATACATTACTGCAAGAAAACCACTCATTTCTATTATGGTATACCAAAAAAATATGCTCTGTCAAACATAACTTATGTAGCAACTGTACGGTACTTCTTTTAGAATCATTTTATCAAAGCAATGAGAATAATAAATATTTATATACATGTGATTTAATTTTTTTTCTTATTAGTACACATTTACTTATAAATTTATATTGAACAACTATGTGAAAAATTAACAACAAAAAAATATTTGAATAATTCGTGACAAAAAATATATTTTTGGACCCAAAAAGGTGACTGGGAGATTTGGAAATATGCCTAATAAGCCTGATGAAGAGTGAACACACACCACTTGTCAGCATTTCATTATAACAGCACATACTAAAGGAAACAGTTAAAAAAATTCCAAAACTGTCATTGAAATTAACAGGAATATGTACAAATAGGTATATGAACTCTGGGACAACAAACAAAGGTCTATCCAAATGTATTATACTGTCATTTGTAGAACAATGACTTTATCAAAGTACAAGTAATCTCAAGTAGGACAGACAAGTACTTTATATCACACAATGTGAGCATCAATGCCTAGATTAATGCTTCACCAGAGAAGAAGGTACTGTGGCATCAACCAGAGCAGGTGGCACAGTAGCAATCAAGTTATTAAAAACATCATCATGTACATTTCCCATCAAACAGAAGATACTAAGTATCACTAACTTTAATTCACAGTTCCAAACTACTGGAACTAACTAAGATGTGCAGTAAGCAAAATCAGAAAAGATTACACAGAATTCACTTTTCTATCTTAGCAAAGTTCTGTACAGCATTTCAGAAAGTGCTGCACTAGTGGAATTAAAACAAGGTATAGTCAGTTCAGTGACCTTTTAAGTTTCTGAAAACATTGCTTTGTGCATTAAAGAGATGACATAGTAAATTTTTTCATAGATTTCAAAGATGCTATAACTGCGCATGATCAAGATAGAGATGTGGAGGTTGGAAGGGGGCTATAACTATTTGCCCTGTGGAACCTTGACAAGTTTCTTTACACTTATATCTTAAGACAGGATTACATTCCCATACTAAAATTTCTATGTGTAAAGGAGGGGTTAAAGTGTAAATGCTCTGACCTTGTACAATGTATTATGCATCTGATATCAGAGTTATCAACATTTCTTGTTATCCTATAATACTGATTTTGAAACAATTCATGTTAGAGTAGAAAAAATACCAGATACAATATACAGGGATACTGAAAAAAATTTAGATAAGACTTTAGGAGGTTGTAGAAGATAAGCAATGCAATTTGCAAACTGTCCAATGGGCAAAAATATTTATATTCTTCTCAAGTTCATATGAACATCAACTTGTACTCCAACTTGTCAGTCTGGGTCACACTTACTGCAGCATTTCAGAAACATTCTTAGTACAAAAACTATAGTAAAACATCTGATTTTACTATACAACAGACTTTTATCATTGAATAAAATTTTGCCACATTTCATAAAGATACACTTCATAAATTTGAAATTATAGTTGGTATTATTTATGTATAATCAATTAAAATCAACAGTGACAAAATTAAGACAAACTCACCTATTACTTCTTGAAATTGAAAGTAGGACATTAATCAAAATTTTCCTGCAAGATAAACAATTATTATCGACAAATACAAATTATTTTGCTAAACTATATGGACGTTTTAGTCACCAGGTTCTGCATATTTAACAACCATTCACTAAACATTTTAAGAACTACTAGAGGTCTGTAAGAATAGTCACCTTTCATGCAAAATACAAGCAATTTCTTTGCTGAAATCTCCTCCCTGCTTTACAAGCTTTCTCAACTCTTCAAATCCATTTGGTCCCTATAAAAAATGTTTTTCAAACGAGCATCTTTAGAATGATGTACCACTTATTTCACATTAATCAGGCAATTAAATATAAATGAAATTATAAAAATTCCAAAAACTTATAAATGAAAGTAAAGAAGAGTGTGTTATGTCAATGACACTACACCTGCTGTATCCAGTGCCAATGAGGCCTTTCACCCAATACCCATCATTTAATTACAGTCATACTTTTCCATTCAAATACAATATAAAGTAGTAAGATATTCCTAATATCATATTTCTTTGTCCATTATTATCAAATACTAATTTTACAAGTTATCCCATACACGACACTATCATAAATAATTCTCATACAGTAATATCATTTTACCAATAACTTATTACACTAAGTTCCACTAACATAAGACATGCATTTTATATATTTAGTTATACAATATCTATACATCAGGTTTTATGCTTTCTAGGAAATAAAGAATCCAATATTGCTTATGCATCATGAAATGTAAACAAGAGGAAATCTTCAATAGCTGCAGTACTTGAATTTCTTTTAGGCAGGATTACGATAAATGATTTTCTATGAGACCCTTGTTTCCCTTTTTATTAGCTATATTTTTGTGTGCCAGCAATACCAAACATGGGACATGCATATACTTGATATGATTTTATTACTTATTACGATCTCTACCAGCCTACCCTCAAATTGAAATTGTTTTAGGCATGAGTGGAATAAATTAATATATGAAACTTTGGGCTTGGTCAAATACATCAATCAAAGTTGAAAACTGTAATTAGATCTCAAATCAGTCAAGAGATGATGGAGCTATGAGCTAAAAGTTTGTGCTTGGAAAAAAAACAAAAAAACTCAGAGCTGTTCTATGAGCCACTTATCCACGGCTAAAAATTACATTAAAAAAATGCATCTAAAGCATAGGAATAGTAGATTGTTTTTCTGAAAGTATAAAATAACTTATACCAATGTAATCTTTATTCACAAATCATAAAACCCCAAAGTGAATCACTATGTCACATTTGATGATTTATGCGACTCACCATGTCAATATGTCTTGATAGCATATTTACATGTTAAGTTCTGCTCAGTACTATTTGACACACTCAAGAAAGCTTAATGGGTTGTATGCCATACATTCTAAACTTTTTTCTCATGTGAAAAGTTAAGCTTTCCATTAAATATCCATTCCTTACTTACTTCTTCATAAAATCATATTCACTTGGCACTTTTTAAATATTACTCAGATCTTTGTGTCTAATACTGCAAGAATCAAATTAGCAACAATCCATTAACAAATTTCTCCAAATTACTTGTGGTTCCATGACTGCACTGGTTGTGGGATCTCAAGACCATGGGTTACACAGAAAAAAGGTAAACAAAAATACCATCAATATAGTAATGAATCTGACTACTGTAATTACTATTAGGTACCCTTCTGTAAGTATTTCAAATAAAAGCATGTAGTTATTTCATCCAATTTATTTATTTTTTGGTCATTTTTAAAATTTAGTTTGTAACAAGTAAAATATGTTAATTTACTCATTCTGATGTAACGTGTATACCATAAAGTAGCAACCAGTATGAAAACAAATTTGTAATTTGAGGGTTAAAAAAATTTCTAACGGGTTTCAATGAATGCATATTATCAAGAGTTTAAATTTGATGACAAGGAACCCACTTTGAGACTAATAATGCTTGGAGATGGCTTGAATGGATAATGAAGAAAAACTTTAATAAAAGTTTAACATAACAACAAATGTACAACGTTTTGTCATCATCAGGTACAAGTAGTTTACACTGACACAGATATATATATATATACAGTATGGAACAAAGAGGTCACAT